GCGAATATTGCTTAATGTATTTGCTATATAAGTTTCAAGGATGTTCAATACATAGTTTTACGAGTATATTTACAAGGAACACATTGTACAACGATATTTTAGTGGATGAGATGTTTCGCTCCTATTTTATAGATAATAATTAATAAGATTTTGTATTTTATAAATAAAAATTGTAACAAAATTATGTAATGTGTTTTATTGATGATTCAGATTAGCGTTGTATAAACAAAGAACTATAACACAATAGCACTGATATAGTCGACGCACACGCTGCAATGAAGGTGATTAATGAACAATAGAACAATAGAAATAGGAACAATGGGACGCTAATGACGGTGGAGGCCCTTACCGGATATCAATTAGATATTAGCTAATTGATCTACACATCTCCGGAACCGTGCATTCTACACAAAAATGGACCGCGGATTCGTGATCAGAGCATGCCAAAACCTTTTTTTTTTTTTTAGGATCGTGTGTCGACGAACGTCGTTGAACCACGTCTGACTCAGGTGGTCTAGAAGTGGTACAACTACACTACTCATATATTATAATGACAAGTTGGCTCTACAGATTAACCCTAACAAAAGCAAGGCCATGATTTTTAGTAAAGATTTTCCCTCTAATGGCATACTCTACAATAATCATCCAATTTCAGTTGTATCTAGCCATAAATTCCTGGGTGTTGTCATTGATAACAAACTTTGTTTTAATTTACACATCAATCACATTATAACTAACTCTCTTAAGGGCTTAAATATTATAAGATGTTTAGCTGGTGTGACTTGGGGTGCAGACCCCAAAGTTTTAAGTATGCTATATAAATCTATAGTCAGAAGCCATTTCGACTACAGTTGTTTAGCCTACTCAAATAGTAGTTGTGTAAAAAAACTAGACATAATTCAAAACAAAGCTCTGCGAATTATTTCTGGGTCTATGTGTTCAACTCCCATACGAGCTATGGAAGTTGAAACCAAAATAATGCTACTGTGTCTTAGAAGACTTCTGCTAATAGAGAGATATTTACTAAAGCTGGTATCTGGTAATGATAATGTTCTCAAAAAAATAGTACCTTTTCCTTTACAATGCTCGGTCCAGCAGACTTCGGGAGGTGAGCTTTTACAAGGTTATTTTCCAGTTTTGCCTCTCATTGTACAGCAAATGAATGAAGATTTTAAAAATGTAATTAAACAATCAAAGTGGACATGCTACACATACCCATATTCCTGTATTATATTTGAGACCAATATTGTTACCAAAAATTTTTTTAATAATTGTGAATTATTAAGTTTTATTTCCGACAATAACTACTATACTTTGTATACAGATGGTAGCAAAAGTGAGCTCTTTGTGCGCAGTGCCGTTTATGATCCACAATGCAAGTTTGGTCAACGTTTTCTTCTGGACCCTAAATGCAGTGTTTTCACTGCAGAGGTATATGCGGCTCTCGAGGCCCTGAAGAGGATTGCACATATAAATAGTTTTAATAATTTTTTAATTTTAACAGACAGTTTAAGTATGGTCCAAAGTTTAACTAATCTCAGATTTGACTTTAAAAAAAACTATATTTTGTATAATATTAAAAAATTGTTATTTAGTTATGCAAAAAAGGGTATACAGGTCTCTTTCATGTGGATTCCATCACATAGGGGCATAACAGGAAATGAGATAGTAGATAAAATTGCACGTGATGGAACCAACATGTTGGATGTTAGCTCCATAGTAAAAGTATCTTTGACCGACTGTTATCAATCTATTGACAACCAGGTCAATAGCTTATGGGTCGAATTTTGGAAACAAGATCAAGAACAGAAGGGTAAATGGTATGGAACTGTTCAAGAAAAACTACCTGTAGCACCATGGTATAACAAACTGAAAATGGCCAGTCGGGACTTTGTTACCACTATAAATAGACTGCGCTTTGGTCACTCCACCGTCCCGGCCCACCTGGCTCGATTGGGCATAGTGGAGAGCAGTTACTGCACCTTCTGCAATAATTCTGTTGGTGATATCGAACATTTCATATTTACATGTGAGTGCTTTTCATTTGACAGATTGATTCTTGTCAGTGAAATTAGTGACATAGTGCAAAATCAAGTGACAGTGCAAGATCCCTCCCGCCGCCTGAGTGATATGTTAAAAAATAGATCCTATTACGTGCCTCTATATAAATTCATCAAAAATACAGTGGGGAAATTATAATAAACCGAATAAAAATACTCAAGACTTGGCCTAAAGGTCTAGATGCCAGGCCATAAACTCCAAAAAAAAATAACAAGAGAAAAGTCCGGTTTGTTGATGAAAAAGAGAATTCAATTTATTCAATTCAATTTTAATTAATAAAGCTATAGAAAACAGCAATGGCCTTTAGTGAAGGTGAAGTTTGTAGAATTTGTTTAAGCGTTAATATACGCATGTTTGCACTAAAGGAGACTGGCCTCCAAAATTTGTATAAGACATTGACAAACAGTTTTGTAAGTTTTTTAATATTTATTTATTGCTAAATGAAGTTGCGGTAATTTGTTGTTATCACTGGAGAAATACATTATGATGCCCGACATACGTTCTAAGATGTAGCGTTAAATATAGTGACAAATACAACCAGAACCTGAAAAATAACTATTAGCCTGGTATCCTGGGTCGCACTAAAATCAGTATTATCATTTAAGTAAAGCCTAGTAGGATATAGGTACGCAAGGAGCGGCATGTTGCGCAACATGTCTCTCAACTAATACGTGGAATGTCGCGGAACTTTTTGCAGGCCACACTAGTCAGTAGTCAGTGCTTATAGAAATGTCTCCCAAAGAGGTTGTGGCGATTAGTGCTGTCTACGTAGTGCTTTTTGCATGAGTGAAACGTAAGCGAAAGAAAAGGTGGTGGATTAAGAATTCCTTACTACAATGAGAAGGAAGAGGAATTGATATTTTAAGTGATCTCCAAATGTCTGACGGATCTTTTGTGAATTTTACTCGAATGTCAACATCTGATTTTGAAACGTTATAACAAATGATCGGACCTTCCATAACCAAACAGGATACTATACTAATGAATGCTGTTGCCCTCATATCGGTATCAGACTTGCCATTGCATTAAGATACTTGTTGACTAGAGTTTTTTATGCTTCTTTGTCGTACACTTTTCGAGTGTTGAAACAACTGATCGGCAGAATAGCACCAGAAGTTAGTGGTTAGAAGTATCTCATAACAAAACACGACTCTGGTAAAGTTCAAGAAGTAAAAGCACGGTTTAATTTCCCCACACAACTGACATGTTGCAAGGCAAGTTGCGCACAAAACTACACCCGGTAACAAATGACGTGACACTGACGCCGGACATGTGCACTCTGTCTCGGAGAGGGAACAAGCAACATGTCCCATGTCACTTACAATGTTCTGGGTCACTGTGCAATGTAGCATCATCATGTAGGTGGAGTGTTCCACATAATCTTGTGGGACAAAATGGCTCCTAGTGTATCTGGGTCTTAGTTTAGTATAGTTTACGACGGGCTGATTTCCGTGACTCCACGTCTATGCTCGTATTTAGCGTGTGGGCAGGAATAATATGCTTATTCGAGCCATGAGATCTCCCCGAAAAAGCTCAACAGTCCTTTGATGTTGCATGCAACTTCGGGGAGTGATCTCTGCGTGCCGAGATGTTTAGCCCTGTATGTAGTGACCTCCGGACATTTCAATATCACATGGGCCGCCGTTTCTTCTTCCCCCAGACTTGCCCTGCACAGGGGACTATCTGTAACACCTATAGTAAATAAATGCTTGTTAAAGTTGCGGTGTCCTGTGATAGCACTTGTTACTATCCTGATCTGCGGCCTGTTCAGTCTCATTAGAACTTTGGTTAAACAACTGTTTATTTCAGACAGGGCCTCCCTAGCTTGTCTACAGTCTACTAGATTTTTCCAAAGCTGAGCGTGTAGATTAGTGAAGTGTCAAATATCTGGGTCTTAATTATACTACATTCTCCTTCCATTCCTTCCATGCAACCCGCACTGCTGCATAGATTTTGTTCCTGGTGTCTGTTCTAGTACATATTACTTGAATGACTAATATTGTGATTTTTATCAACAAATTAACATTTACCCTGGTTTGGTTGTTCAGCAAATTAAAACGGTTCTATCGGACTATTAAAATGAGAGAATCGAGTTCATTCATTCATTCATTCACACAAGCATTATCAGTTTACTTAGAGCAGTGATGCACAGACTTACTAGGGGCCACTCGGGTAAATTATGAACTGATGGCGGGTCGCCAGAAGTATAGGTAATTAAAGACAATAAAGAATTGATAATAATGTATTAAAATTGAAAAAGAATTTATTAATTTGAAGCGTGCACTGCATAGTGCTTACAATCTTTTTTATATTTGGCTCAAATTTACTTGTAGCAACATGTAAATCTGCTTCCAAACTTTCATTTGCAAGGCGGTTTTGATTTTTTGTTTTATTATTATTTAGTATTGAAAAGGTTTGTTCACATATATAGGTAGAACCAAATAGGCTGGCACATTTCAGAGTGTTTATGAACAACTCTTTGTACGTATTTTTATCAATGCAGCAGTAAAAGTTTAGCAAGTCTCCTTTGTTGAATTTGTTGCATAAATCTTGGTCGTTTTGAATGTCAATAATTTCTAACTGCATTGACTCTGGCGCCTTTTCAACTGAAATCGTGAAAGGATTGCTGAATATGTCCAACAGAGGTTTCACTTTTTTAAACTCCGAAAATCTGTCTTGAAAAGATTGAATCAAAATATCTAGCTTTTCTACATAACTGAAATTAATCACAGTTTTCTTGAATTTTTCAGCCATTTTCTTATAATTCGGAAAATGATTGTAATTTCTAGAATTCAATTGCGATCTGAAAAGTGTCAGCTTGCATTGAAAGGATGATACATGAGCGTAGAGCTGGGTTATCAGTTGATTTATGCCTTGAAGCCGTGTGTTCAAGACAATAAAATGATTTGTAATATCAACTAAAAAGCCAAATCACACAACTAATCAGGATTTTTAAGTTCCGGGACATCCCTTTGCTTTTCCGCCAGAAATATTCCAATTTCTTCTATTAAATTTAGAAATTGTTCCAGTGTCAATCCACGACTTAGCCACCTTACTTCTGTATAATACAGTAAATTTCCATATTCGTTTTCGATGTCATCAAGGAATTGTTTGAATTGCCTGTGATTGAGTCCTTGTGATTTTATGAAATTTACAGTCGAAACTACCACTTTCATGACATTTTGAAATTCAATTTTTTTAGAACAGAGGGCTTCTTGGTGTATAATGCAGTGAAACTGCATGAGATCTTCAGCGTTTATGTTTTTTTCTTGCAGATGCTTTTTCAGCAAATTAACTAGCCCAGAATTGACACCAATCATCGAAGGAGCACCGTCAGTCGCAACTCCCGATAATTTTGATAAGTCTAAATCAGTTTTTGAATACTCATACAAAAGTACATTGAGTATACCAACTCCTCTGGATTGACCTTTCAATGAACACATTTCTAATAACTCTTCTAAGACTTCAAAATCTTGAGTAACACCTCGTATGAATATCAGAAGTTGAGCTGTGGAACTAATATCAGTGGATTCGTCGAGTGCTAATGAAAAAAATTCAATGATCTTAGTTTTTTCATTTAATTGTTCCGCAATATTACCTGACAAAGACATAATTCGTCTTTGGATAGTCATACGATTCAGTTGAATTTTCTCAAAGTTTTTTGCTGCTTCTGGACACATTTTCTTAGCGGCTTTCTTTCTTTCTTTTTTGCTTTCTTAATTCGCCTGTAAACTTGGTAAAAGTAGGATGCTGCGTTTCATAGTGCCTTTTTACATTATATTCCTTTGCAATCGCAACAGAATTCTTGCAAATTAAACAAACGACTTTGTTATGCGACCATACAAAAAAGTATTTCTCAGTCCAAATTTCTTGAAACTGCCGGATTTTCATCTTTAACCTTACGTTTTTTACTAGGTCCTGGCTTGTCCATGTTGCGTTCTAATCCTGGCTAGGATTAACACAGCACCTAAAAACAATTACAGTACCTACTTAAATTACCCATCCTTTTTAAATTACCAAAAATAGTTGCTTAAATAGGTAGGGAAACACTTATTAATAACAGAGTTTTACTTACGATTTCACAACACAATTATACACGGCACTTGACGGGAAATCTACGTTGAATGTGGATCAAAATATATGACACTGGCTAGTCGAGTTAAAATCTACACTAGAACTATTGACACTTCACTCAAATTAAAACCGAACTGTCGGTCGCTGCGGTTAGCGTGGCTTTTATACCGCGCGTATAGAGTCGAAAACTGTCTGGAGAAATCACGAAACCGACTCTGGAAGCGTCGTGTATCTACCTACGCAAGCAATCGGGAATTCGGGACTATTGCTATCTCGCTTGCTCTAACAATATAACCCGTGGATAAGCCGCCAGCGCGCTGCCGTCGTCGCCGCGCCGCCGGCCGCGGCGGTTCCTCAAGAAAACGAATTTAACCGAGATCAGCACGAACATTACCGACCGCTGTTACCGACGCTTGCACGGCGCACCGATAAGCGCACTTAAGAGCGCGCGCGCGAGATTCAAATTACTTTTCGAACATATTTTTTTTTTGGTTTTATTCTGGAATATAATTCAATATTTTTCGAATGTACGAAAGTATTATTTTTGCTGTCGGCGGGCCACCAGTATTCGACCGGCGGGCCGCGGTCTGTACATCTACGACTTAGAGTGATAAGAGAAGTATTTGTAATGTTCTCAGTGATGATAGCAGTTTGAAGTTAATGTAGGTAATGTAGTTGATGGATGTAGGTGGCTTGGAACTGTAGGAGTTTCTTTCTGCCTAGATATCACCCTCTTACCATTTTCTGGCACCAAGCAGCAGTATGTGTCCCCAGTCTGAAGGACATCGAGAGCCAGGCTGTGATGCATTACATCTTAGTCCTCAGAGGTAACATTGCATCTGTAGCCATTGCTTGAAGTTCGTTGCAGGTGCCCATGGTGCCCATTAGTCACTTACTAGATGGTAAGTTTATTTGTCACTATTATAAAAAATGATATTGACAAATTAAAATGTGGTAGCCAATAATCTTTATTATAAACTTATATACAGTAGAACGCCGATTATCCGAATTAATTGGGACCGGGGTCGATTCGGATAATCGAAAATTCGGATAATCGGACATAGACTGGTATTTAATATAGAAAAACGAACTGTCACACATAGAATAAACTTTATTAAGTTTATAAATGGTTTTACACTTTATAAAGTTTTATAAAGAGTAAAACCAGCTACACCCAGAAACAGAAACAGAAACTTTTTTATTCAATATAGATTATAAATAATACTTATTGAAAGTCACTCTTTTGTTTGATTACCAATGGTTCGGAAAAAACCTCTGTCCTGGGAAGAACCAGTAAGAAACCCAGCGGGACTTTTTTTTTTAAATAACAGCTTACAATCATGATGTTACACAAATTAACAACACAACAAATTAGAAATAGCTTGGTAGCGATCACCTCATTTCCAGGGGTTATTATCATCCATAAATTCCTTAATATTATAATAACCCTTTTTATACAAACTTAGTTTAATAAAGTTTTTGAACTTTGAACAGGTCAAACTTTGTATACAGGGTATTTTTGGAACGCTCCCGAAAACTAAGACAGGCGACAGCACCAAGTATACCTTTGATCATGGGTTACAAATAAAGTCGATCCTGATGAAAAAAAAATCATCTTTTAACAACGTTTTATTAGCTTTACTCACGCGCCATCATGTTAGTACAGCTAAATGAAACGATAATTTCATAAAAAATATAATGAAAATACTGAAACATAAAACCAGCAGTGGAAACTGAATTGATATCACCTGACTAATGGAGGTTAATGTACGCGCGAACGGTGAAAAACAAACGCTGGCCTTGAACTTGGGCACTGAGCGATTTATCACATATTGGTACGAAAGGCGCGCGACGGGGGAACAATCCGCCAGTATTAGTGTGCCTGCATGCTATTGGTTCCCGCGCTTTGTTCGCTCCAAAAATACAGTCGCATACACAGCTTACTTTGCGACTCGCGACGATGTTTTAAAAAGGAAGGAAAGAAAAATTATTTATATCTATTGTTTTATGACTAAACTAGTGATCGAAAAGGTAAATATGATAGGAGAAGGTGAATGGGGAAAATTGTGCAGTAAATTTAAAAGTGTGGAGGAAGAATACCGAAAAAATTACCATGTGATCGACCTGATGACGGAAGCTCAAGCGAAGATGAAAGTGATGATCAAGTAGCATCCAGTAACACCAACACACCATTAACATCTGGCTTCCAAGACGTCATAATGGACGGCGTGTTACCCTTAGCTAAAGTTTTCTTGTTACAAACTACTTTATATTTTACGATAGAAATAACAAATAATGCTCATGTAAACATTATCCATTTTTAATTCCCACCTCTTCCAAAGTTCTAAGTAGCTAGTAAAACACCTATTATGATTCTACATTAAAACAATTAATTACTATAATATTATAAAACAATAGCCCAATACCATGTAGTATTTTAGAACGCGATTGTACCCACACCCCCTCCGCTATCGACCTGTATCTAGCTCGGTACGAAACCCGCGGTCGTAAGAAAAAAGGGCGCATCTAACAATTTATGAATAAATGAGTTAAATATACCATTCGATTCATGATAAGAAGGCGCATCTACTAAATTTTTTTAATATTCACAAATATCAATATTTTAGAAATTATCGTAAGAATTTTAGACGTAACTGTTGATCACAGATGACTTTTTTTAGTAGAAAAGACTTATACAAATTCAACATAAAAGAAAAGACTTATTTAACCAGTTGCTACGTCATCTTTAACAATATTTGCATCGATTACTTAAATTTCAATTATTCTTGGTCTTGTCTTATTATTCTATATCTTATTATTAAGAGCTTATATCTTATTGTTAAGAGCTGGTGTTTCACATGTGGTCCCATATAAATTTGATCGAGGTCAGACCAATAGTTTTTGAGTTATCCTTAATTATTTATATTAAAGTCGGTTGTACAAAATTTTTAATTTTTAATTATTATCGTAGTAAGTCTTGTATGATATCCCCTTTAAAATCATTACTTTTTAAAATTATTATTTTTTGTGTCTCACTACCAATGCTTTTCTAATATTTATTAAAAAAAAAAGTAGTAAATTACTATTAGCGTCCTTTCAACTTCAAATGACCTTTCCAAAATATGTAAAATTGTTAAATGAATGGCAGTTTTTTTTAAATTTATTAGGTTGGAAAGACGCAAATAGTTATATGCGTCTTTCCTTCGATGTTTTTGTGTTGCCAGGTGTATTTTTTAAGCTAAGATGAAAAGGAAAATTCGTTTTATTTAAATAAATAAACAAATTATCAAAAAATTTGTTCGTCCTTAAAATCTTCATGTCTCTACGTATTTTCATATAGATACCTTTTAATATAGGTACTTTAGACACAGGGTCTGAAAGAAAAATTCATCAATTTATTTTTTATTTCCATTTTACGTTTTTGTTAGTTGCGTCCTTCTTTATGTAACCCGACGACGGCAGAATGTAACCCGGCCGGCTCGTGTCGCCTCACGCTGTGACGCAGTAGACAAAGCAAGGAGTAAAGTATTCTGTGAGACAAAGAGTATAATAACTGTCCTAGCAGTAGGTTTCAGTTTTGTTGGGGTTCGTTATTAATTGTAGTTTTTGAAACAGTTCCGTGTTGATTTTGTACACGCGTGCGTGAGCGACAGCTCAATCGTATTGTTATTACTTGTGATTACGTGTTGGTATTATACCTGTTGTTACGTTTTTTGTTTTAATAATGCTTAACGCGTACTTTTATAGTGATTGTGAATACAGCAACATGTTATCCGAACCCAGGTACACGAAGTATCGCCAAATAAATTGTTAAGACGTCGGGATGCGTTTGTGCAGTGCACAAAGTGTTGAAGCGTAACCGAATGCGCCCATACAAATTGCACAAAGTGCAAGCTTTAGTTCCCGGCGATCACGTCCACCGACGAGTTTTCTGCCGTTGGTTATTATACCAGCGACAACGTGTGCCTGGTTCCATTGAGCACATTATCTGGACGGATGAGTCGACATTTACCAGAAACGGCCTGTGGAACCGAAGAAATACACACGTGTATTCAGAGGTTAACCCGCACGCTGTTCGACAAACCGGGCACCAAACCCGATGGTCGGTTAACGTATGGGCAGGTTTATTTAAGGATCGCATACTGGGACCAGTGTTTCTGCCACAGCGACTGAACAGACAGCGATACCATGTCGTGAGGTTCGTCCGTGAGCGCCTCAATGAGCTATTTGATGATCGCTGGATCGGCAGACTAGGACCACACGCTTGGCCACCTCGCTCACCAGATCTGACCCCGTTAGACTTCTTTTTGGTATGTGAAAGAAAGGGTTTTTAATCGTGAGTGTGATAGTGCTGACAAAATGCGCCAAAGGATCGTGGATGCTTTCGAGAAACTATGTACGGACTGTGTCGAAGACCACACGATGATGCCCCGCCTGCACCCAAATCTACCTTGAAATGAATGGAGCACAATTTGAGCTGCATCTCATAAGACCACGGAGGATTTAGAGCGGTAAGCTGTTTCATAACTATTTTTTTTAAATAACTTAGTGCTGAACT